CTGTCTGTTATGTCCCATTAGGAATTTGCCCCACCCCCATCCGTCTTCGTGTACATGGACTGATAAATACGTTTTCATACGCTTACTTAGCAGACTTTCTTACAATATATCGTTCATCAGGATTTGTATTAAAAGGAGAAAAAAATCGCCATTCGCAGACGACCTCCAGCCACCGCACACAGCCTATGACTGAAAGTGTACGATCACGGCTCGACCACTGCGATGGCAGCATTTGTATTAGTATTCGAGTAGAACTAATAATGGCTGATAGTACACGATAGATCAACCAATCAGATTGCAGCAGTTGCACTAGTATATTAGTTAGCAACCTGACGTAACGATGGGGATTTTTCATGGGACAGATCAGGGCGTAGTCTCGAGATTTTCGGCTTCAAACTGATCGCACTTTATTTGGATATCTCTGAAAGTATATCAAAGATAAATCAAAATTGCCACGGAAAACTAAAACCTAAAACTTTGAACCCCATTCTAAGCTTTTTCGAACAGAACTGTAGTTCTGATTTCTCTAATTATCTTTATCCTGCAAACCTGTGTCCAGGATCGGCTTTGAGAAGCGGTGTATACTTTGCCCGTGTCGCCGCATAGTAGGCTGAGTGGCCAAAAGGAAATCCCTTCCTCGCCATGTCAATTGAAGGTTGTACCAGAACCGCCCAGGGCAGTTTGCCATACTTTGTCCAGGCTTCAAAGAATCCTTTCACCTCACCGGGTACACCGGCGGCTGTCGCACCTGCAAAACCACAAACCAACAGCAAACAATAACTTTTCATGAAACCCCCTTAAAAGCTTTCGCCCTCCGCCGCGCTAAACCATTGCCTTCTGTAGGCTAGCTAGTAAACGCTCAAAGATGATTTTTTGCGAGCTACTGTCGTTCATTTTAGGTTTGTGTTTTAATTTAAACCACGCGACCTTATTTACGGAGTTCTCACTGAGTTTGATATGAAACATTTAATTGAAAAGTCTGGTATGAACGAAGAGGAAACAGGAGCAAAAAAACAAAAAAAACACGGAAAGATATAAGCCCGACACAATATCATTCAGAAAGTGAAAACAGATAACGTACATAAGATATACACTCCAATTAAGTTTGTTATCCTATTTGTGGTTCTTCTAGATATCCTTTCATATACTTCAGTGTAGTTTTGTGAGAACATGATGGACTCTGGGCAACACAACTGTAGTCCTTTGATGGCGGCCGCGTAAAGGAAACTTTTAATTCATTTAACTCGCACGAGGCGTATAATTTATAGAAACCTTAGCCTGCGTAGCAAGCATTTCCGTAGGGTTTGGAAGCAAAGAAAGACCGAAGAACGGGATTCTCGGTGTTTTGTCTGCGCGGAAAATGGGGCGAGAACCAAAAAAAAAAAGGGGGGGGCTGGGAGA